TCCTTTGTTTTTTAAATTTTCCATAATCTTTGCTTGAGTGGTCCAATTCTTCAACTTTATCCTCCAGTATTGATATTCTGTTTTCCATTTCATTCATTCTAGCTGTGAGGCTTTCTCCTGTTGTTTGAAGTTGGCTTATTGAGTTTTTCACTTTGTTTCTGCCTGAGTTTTCTTCAGTGTTTGTATCTCTTTTGTGGATTCATTTGAGTGTATTACCTGCATGTATGTGAGTGCACTCATGTTGTGCAGTGCCTCTGAGGTCAGAAGAGGGCTTCAGATTCCCTTGGAACTGGAGTTAAGGATGGTTTGTAGCTGCCATGTGGGTGCTGGGAATCAAACCCAGGTCCTCTGCAAAAGCAGTCAGTGCTCTTAACCACTGAGCCATCTCTAGCCCCTCATTCAGAAGTTTGTCCCTGTCTTCTTTTCGTTCTTTTATTTGTTTGTGTGTTCTTGAAATTCGTTGAATTCCTTGATTATGTTTATGACTATTCTTTTCAATTCAATGTCGTGGGTTATCGCTACAGATTCTCCTTGTAGAACTCTTCTACAGGACTGGTGGAGTTTGGTGGGGGCATAGTGTTTTGGCTTTCCATTTTATTCTTTTGTTGTGATTTGGCATGTGAATTTCTTTTATGATTCTGTTATAAGAATTAAGTTGAAGTATCCTTCTGTTTGTATTATCGGGTGGCTAGGTCCTTTCCTTATTGGTTATGTAATGCTGGTTGGTACAGGTTTCAGATTGTCAGGTTTTATTTTGGAGGGAACTGGTGGCTTCAAATCAGCTATTTAGGAGGACTCACAGAACTGCAAGTCAGGTTCCAGTCAGGTATGCTCAGGCTTCCTTCTAAGATTTGGACCCTACCACAGGGAGGCAGGATCTAGGTGCTTTCAGGCAGTCCTCTGTGTTCTCAGCCCATATGCCAGAGGGAGGCCAGAACCCAGTGGTCTGCTCAAAAATTTTTTTTAATTAAAAAAACAAATAAGCTATGGGTCCCAGGATCTCTGGGGTGAGCAGATCAAGCAGATATAGGTAGCATAGGACCAGAGAAGGTAATGGGGAGTGGATGAAAGTGATCAAAGTCTAAGACATACATGTATGAAAATACATATAAGGTTTGAATTAGCAATTTTTCTTTCTTCCTGTTTAGGTTTACTGTTCTGGAAATTGAATATACAGCCTCATGTTTACTAGTCAAGTGCTCTATCATTGAACTGCATTCAGTAGCAGTTCATTTTATAATATTAAAGGCAAAAGATAGATATATTGAATCTGATAGTCCATTAAATAAGAGCGACATGTTTATTTAAGGGAAAAAAAATTCTCTTTCACTTTTGAGAAAACTTGATTATGTAAAGAGTCATGCATAATTCAGTGAAATGATGATGGTGTCTTTTTACATATGCACATACAGATTCATCAGTTACTAATTTCCTTTCTTTTCAAAACGTTTCAGTGGACTGTGAATGGACAACTGAGGGTTGGGTTTTTTACCACCAAACTAGTTCCTTCAGGCTCTGAGTTAACGTTTGACTATCAGTTCCAAAGATATGGGTAAGTAATGTTTCCTCTGTATTTGGTGCTCCTGATCTGGAAAATGATGTTCAGACACAGAGATAAAAAATTCTCATATGAATTACTATCAGTTATCAATTCTTATATGTAGCATATAGTAATGATTTTGTGTTTTTCCTATTGAGTGATATATCTAGCTACTAGGGGATGTATTGTACAGGAACTATGTAGTTTTCCTCTGAATTTCATGTAGTCAAACTTTATAGGGCTGAGGTTGTAGTTCAGTTGGTAGGATGCTTGAAGCCCTGGTTTTAAGTACCACATAAAAAGCAGGGTGTGGTGATGCTTGCTTGAAATTCCATTAGGTAGGAGGTGGACTCAGTAGGATCAGAAATTCAATATTATCCTTGGCTGTGTATAGAGTTGAAGGCAGCCTGGCCTAGATGAGATTGTCTTAAAAAACAAAACCTAGTTCATTTATAGGGATGCCAACTCTATGTGTATGAAGAGAATCTTTGTGTATTTATCATTTAGAATTAGCATTTACCAACTATTAATAAATCTTTTTTCACCTATACCATATTAATACTCTTAAAAATAATTTTTGACGTTTGGGCTTAGTGGCACATACCTTTAATCCCAGCACTGGGGAGACAGGGGCGGGTGAATCTCTGTGAGTTTGAGGCCAGCTAGTCTACATAGGGAATTCCAGACTAGCCAGGGATGTACAGTGAGACTCTGTCTCAAAAAAAAATTGAACCAAGCATAGTGGAGCATGCACAACTTTTCCATACTCACAAGGTATAAGGAGGAGGAGAAGTTAGAGGACCAAGCCAGGCATGATGGTGCATGCCTTTAGTCCCAGCACTTGAGGGTAGAGGCAGGTGGATCTCTGTGAGTTTGTGGCCAGCCTGATCTCCATAGTGAATCCAGGCCAGCTGGGGCTACAAGGAGACCCTGTCTGAAAAAGAACCGCCTCCCAATAAAAAGAGGACTGAAACTTCACATAAGCTTATAAAACCCTAAAAGCACCCCCCACACGCCATTATACCTATGTGAATTGGTAACTTCAGATGTTTATTAAAAGGTGCATAGATGCAATTTTCTAGATATTTTAAGCCTTTTAATGTTCTCTTAAGAAAAGGGCTAAGTCAGTGTTCTTTTCTATTATCCTTACCTCCGTGGGTTCATTTAATTTTAACTGTGTTTATTACAGGATCTCATCCTTATGTAATAACTTTTAATAATCAAGTATTTCTTTTTCTGTGCCCTGATAATGCATGTCTTATAGTAATGGAGCTTATTTTATTGTGTGTCAGTTAAACATTTTATCCATAAATAATAACTGTCTGAACTATGGGAACAATTTTATTTCCATGCATTAACAAGTTTTATAAAATGGGGAAGTTAATTTAAGTTATTGACTTGTTTTGTCTAACAGGTAATAGAAGATTAGAAAAAATGAGAAAGCCATGTCTTCTGGCTTACTCCTTTAATTACCAGCATTCAGGAGGCAGAGGCAGTTGGATCTTTATGAGGCCAGCCAAGTCTGCATAACAAGTTCCAGACTAGCCACACCTATATAATGAGACCATGTCTCAGAAACAAAAAAGATAACAAAACAAAACAAACCCCACAAAACAAAGAAACAAAAGTAAGAACCAAAAAACAAAACATCCAGAAAGTAGAAAAAGATTAGGGATATAGTTTACTAGGTTTGTTTTGTTTGTTTTTTGAGTCAGGGTCTCGTGGTTGTTAACTGTTGTGTGGGTACTAGGAACCAAACCCAGGTCCTTTGCAAGAGCATCCAGTGCTCTTAACCTCTGAACCATATCTCTGGCTCAATTTTTATTTATATACTTATTTATTTAATTTATTTATTTTTTGGTCTTTTTGAGACAGGGTTTCCCTGTAGCCCCACCTGGTCTGGAACTTGCTATGTAGACCTTGAACTCACAAAAATCTGCTTGCCTCTGCCTCCCAAGTGCTGAGATTAAAGGTGTGCACCACCATGCCTGGCCTCCAATTTTTATTTTTAATTAACTTTTTTGAGACAGGGTCTCGTTATAGCCCTGACTAGCCTCAAATTCCCTATGTAGATTAGGCTGGCCTCAAACTCATAGAGATCCACTAGCTTTTGTCTCCTGAGTACTGAGATTAAAGGTATGTACTGCCATGCCTAGCCAAGAGCATATTTTAGATACTTCTGTTAGAAGCAGGCTTGTAAGAGTCTTTTAAAATTGTTTGTTTCCCCCTTTGTATTTTAGGTTGGTATGACTACATGTAATTGTCATTTTTATATGCTATACTTCTATATAATTGACTTCATTCCTATGCTCCTTGAACAGAAAAGAAGCTCAGAAGTGTTTCTGTGGGTCAGCAAATTGCCGGGGTTACTTGGGAGGAGAAAACAGAGTCAGCATCAGAGCAGCAGGAGGGAAAATGAAAAAGGAACGATCTCGAAAGAAGGATTCAGTAAGTGTTCCATTTTTTTCTGAAATTAAAAAAAAAAATTTTACTATTTTTATTTTTTATGTGTATTCATGTATTCCTGCATGTAGGTAAGTGCACCCCCGTCATGCAGTGCCCATGGAGGTCAGAAGAGGCTGTCGGATCCCCTGGGACTGGAGTTACGCACAGTTGTTAGCTGCCATGTGGGTGCTGGGATCTGAGCCCGGATCTTCTGTAAGAACAACCAGTGTTCTTAACCACTGAGTCATCTCTCCAGCCCGTTTTTGAAATTTTTTATAAAATTTCTGATTAAAATATGAAATAATAAAGAGAAATCCAGGTTTAGATGAGATAATATTGGAAAAGAGATGTGTTTGGCCATTTTTATTTCAGTTTTTTTTTTTTTTTTTTTTTTTTTTTGGTCTTTTTGAGACAGGGTCTCCTTGTAGCCCCAGCTATCTAGAACTCGCTATGTAGACCAGGCTGGCCTTGAACTCACAGAGATCTGCCTGCCTCTGCCTCTGCCTCCAGAGTGCTGAGATTAAAGGCGTGTGCCACTACACCCAGCTTTATTTCAGTTTTACAGAGATTAGAATGGAATATTGAGAACTATTGAAGAATGAAATTTTTGGGCGCATAGTTTTTCTGAATTTGTCTTAAGTATAAATAAAATACCTTTTCTCATTTGTCTGATCTACACTCCTAATTTTTAATTATTAGTTTATCTTTTGCTTAGAGCTTATAAGTTTGGAAACTTTCTAAAAATTTCTGAAAACTTCCAGTGGCTAGGGCTATAACTCAGTTGGTTGAATGCTTGCCTAGTGTGCACATGGTCATGGTTCTTAGCACCCACATAGTGAGTGACATATGTCTGTATTCCCTGCATTTGGGAGGTAGAGGCAGGAGAATCAGAAATTTATAGCTACCCTTAGCTAAATAGGGAATTTGAGGCCAGCCTGGGCTTGATCTCCAGAATCTACATTTAAAAAAAAAAAAAAAAGCTGGACGTGATGGCATGTGAATGCAATTCCATTGCTTTGGAGGCAGAGGCAGGGGCAACAGACCCCTGGTTGTATTGGTCAAGCTAGCTAGACTATTTTGTGAGTTCCAGGCCAGTCAGAAAACATGTCTCAAAAAAAGGTAGATAGCGCAGGGCATAGTGATGCATGCCTTTAATCCCAGCATTTGGGAGGCAGAGGCAGGTGGATCTCTGAGTTTAAGGCCAGCCTGGTCTACATAGTGAGTTCCAGGACGGCTGGGGCTACAAAGAGACCCTGTCTCAAAAAGACCAAAAAAAAAAAAAGGTGGAATACTCTGGACTCTACAGATACATATACATTTATGTGTGTGTGTGTGTGTGTGTGTGTGTGTGTGTGTGTATACACATACAAAAAATATTACTGAAAACTATCTTTGGAGTATGCAGATTTTTAAATTAAAATTTTATTGTACTTAATGGATTTTATTGTGACGTTTTAATATATGTATATAATGTTTTCCACTAATCCTTACACTTACAGTTTTTTGTCCCTCTCTCACTCCTGTGGATTAGGGTAATCCCCTTCCTCCTCTTCTCAACTGGAGTATGAAGTTTTGAGAGACAATAGAAAATCTGAGAATGAGAAAATAGTGTTTTGTTTTTCCCTTTGGTTTGAGATAAGCTTTTGCTATGTAGCTCTGACTAGCTGGACTTGCTAAGTAGAGCTGGTCTTGAACTTGGGCTGGTCCTCCTGCCTCTGCCTTCTAGTGCTGGCTTACAGGCATGTGCCACTACACCTACTGAGAAAGGAGTAGTCCTCCGTGATCTAATGAAATGGTAATTTGATGCCTACTTTAAAAAAATTATTTTAAATTCCATGTCTCACCTATGTGTGTGATTATGGGTGCACTTGTGCCAAGCACGCCTTTGGAGGTCAGAACAACTTTCCAGAATCAATTCTTACCTTTCACCATGGCACCTGGAGACTGGACTCCTGTTGTCAGGCTTGCATGGCAAGCACTTTTACACATTGAGCCAGCTTTCCTGACCTTGTTTTTGTTCTTGATTCTTGTTTCATATAAGTAAATATCTTGTTGATACTTGACCAGAATAGCCATAGCATGGTGGTACACACCTTTAATCCTAGTACTAAGAAGGCAAAGGTAAGGGCTACATAGTGAGACCCTGTCTCAAAAACTAAATAAAGAAAAATTATAGTTAGACATCAATTTCTATACCATCAAATTGATAAAATGAAATCCTGTGATTTATAAAAACAACCAGAGAAGCTAGCAGCTATGTTCCTGGCTATATCACCAGAGAGACTATTTGTAATGTGTCCCTCAGGAGTCACATCATTATTCTATATACTAGGATGTATAGAAAAGAAGAAATAACCCATCCATTAACAGTAGAATGGGCCAGGCGTGCTGGTGCACACCTTTAATCTCAGCACTCAGGAGGCAGAGGCAGGTGGATCTCTTTGAGTTCTGGGACTACAAGGAGACCCTGTCTCAAAAAAAGACGGGAAAAAACAAACAAACAAACAAAAAAACCCAGTAGAATGGATAGATAATACAGTCATAGAATAAATAGTCAAGAAAATGAACTATGAGGTTCATGAAATGGCTCAGTGGGTAAAAGGGCTTTCTTGGCACCAAACCTGATGCCTTGAGTGTTTTCCCCCAGACCCACATGGTGAAACTCCTTCACCATGGACTGAAGAACTGACTCACAATTTGTTCTCTGCGCTCATGCCTGCTCTCTCTCTCTCACACAATAGACATTTTTTAAAAAAGAAAAAATGGCTGGGCATGGTGGCACACACCTTTAATCCTAGTACTCAGGAGGCAGAGGCAGGCGGATCTCTGTGAGTTTAAGGCCAGCCTGGTCTACACAGTGAGTTCCAGGACAGCTGGGGCTACAGGGAGACTCTGTCTCAAAAAGACCAAATAAAAAAAAAGAAAGAAAAATGAACTATGAATGTACATAAGATGATGATAACTTAATATGTAAGACTTGGGGCTGAGGAGAAGACTCAGTGATTAAGAGCACTGGCAGTTCTTGCAGAGAAACTGGGTCCCAGCATCCACATGGCTGCTAACAACTGTCCGTAACTCCAGTTCGAGGGCATCTTGTGCCATCTTCTGGCCTCCACGGGCATTGCACACAGGTGGTCCATTTACGTGCATGCAGGCAAACACTCATACACATAAAAATAAATACTAAAAAACTTTTTTTTTGTAAAATGAGACTGCCGGGTGTGGTGGCACATGCCTTTAATCCCAGCACTTGGGAGGCAGAGGCAGGCGGATCTCTGTGAGTTCAAAGCCAGTCTGGTCTACATAGTGAGTTCCAGGCCAGCTGGGGCTACAGGGAGACCCTGTCTCAAAAAGACCAAGAAAAAAAAATGTATTTCCTAAAATTTCAGGGTAAGTTATCTCTAGAATATTCAAAGGGGCCGTGATTCAACTTGTGAAGGAGTTTGGGGCACTTCAGGAATGCTTGAAATAGTTTTGTTTGGTTTTAGCTAAATGATAGTTACATAGGTATTGCTCACTTTTTTTTTTTTTTTAATGAAATCTATCTACTATCTGTATGCTTTTCTTGAATGTATGTTTCTTTTTTAAAAATTATTTTCTTTATTATATTTATTTATTTGTTTATTTATTTATTTAGTCTTTTTGAGATAGGGTCTCCCTGTAGCCCCAGCTGGCCTAGAACTCACTATGTAGACCAGGCTGGCCTTGAACTCACAGAGATCTGCCTGCCTCTGCCTCCCAAGTGCTGAGATTAAAGGCGTGTGCCACCACACCCGACTTATTATTTTTATCTTATGTGTATGATTATATTGCCTGCATGTATGTAAGTGTACCTGTGTCATACAATGCCACATATGTCAGAAGAGGATGTCACACTTCCCTTGAACTGGTGTTATGGACGACTGTTAGCTGCCATATAGGTGCTGGGAATCAAACCCAGGTCCTCTGCAAGAGCAGCCAGTGTACCCAACCACTAAGCCATCTCTCCAGCCCTCCTCCTTCCTTCCCTCCCTCCCCTCCCCTCCCTCCTTAAGATAGGGGCTCAAAAAGCCAAGGCTGGTCCAAAACTTGCTATGTAGCCAAGTATGACCTCCTGCCTCTACCTCCGTCCTGAATGCGGTGCTTATAGGTGTGCATTGCCACACTGGGGGATTTATATCCATGGCTGTGAGAATGCTAGGCAAACAGTCTACCAATTGAACTCTTTTTTCGGTCTTTTTGAGACGGGGTCTTCCTGTAGCCCCAGCTGGCCTGGAACTTACTATGTAGACCAGGCGGGCCTTGAACTCACAGAGATTCACCTGCCTCTGCCTCCCAAGTGCTAGGATTAAAGGCATGTACCACCACGCCTGGGCTTGAATGTTCTTTTTATCATGTAGTATCTAAATAGTTCTGAGATTATTACATGCACATTATATGTAATAAAAAAAGTAAGTAGTTCTTGGAACATTTAAGACAGTTCATAGCTAGACTAGGTTTGTGGTACCTAGGAGGCAGACAGGAAGATCACAAGGTTGAGGCCAGCCTAGTCAACATAGTAAGATACCATCTCAGTGAAACAAAACAAAGTTCATATCCAAAAATACTAAAGATATACTTCCTTAACACAGTTTCTCAACTTGGGCAGTTTTTTGCTTTGCCAATGTGTATATACAATACTCATTAGAAATTGCTTCAGATTTTTATTATTTTACTATTTGTGTGGGGGTGTGTGGTTACTGGGGGTTGAACCCAGGGTCTTTCAAGCCAGGCAAGCACTCTGCCACTGAACAATTTTTTGAACTTTTCTGAGGTTAGCAATATGAGTAGGGTACTCAGATGCTGGGCAGTGGCAATGAACTACACTTTCAGCCAGCCTTTCTTTCTCAAGAACAAACCACTGTAAACCTCTGTACTGTACTGTATTTGCTAAGATTTGATGTCAAGTTGACGAGGCATACTAAATGATAGTTTCCTGAAAGATTTATCTGAACCTAAACCCCTTCCTAAGTTTAAAAAAAAAAAGTTTCTCAAACTATGTATCTTAAGCCAGATGTGGTGACACGTGCCTCTAATTCTGGCACCTGAGACAGGAGGATTCCTGTGAATTTCTGTATTGCCAACCTGGGCTACATAGTGAGTTCAAGTCCACTAGATTACAGAGTGATAGCCTATCTTAAAACCAAAAAAGGTCTCTTGGATTGATTAATACTAAACTACTAAGTTTTCAAATGCTATATAATTGTGTGTATGCATTCTAAACTGGGCTGTGACTCATGACTATAATCCTAGGTTTTGAGATGTGGAACCAGAAGGATCAGGAGTTCAAGGATCAGGAGTTCACTTATATAATGCTCTCAGTGTCAGTCTAGACTACTTGAGACAGTCTACCCCCAAAACAAAGCAAAAATGCTAATTATTCTTACACATTTATATTTACTTTTGGTTATCACAAATCCTTTTGGGAAAGTAGTGATTCATAAAAATATTTTTTAGTAAATATAAATTCATGAACTGAAAAAGTAAAACTCAGTGTCTACTACCTCTCCTCAGGTATGCTAAAGACCCTGTCTCAAAAAGACCAAAAAAGAGAAAGTTACTAATTCCATACTTAATTCTTTCTTGAATACCCAGAATTATGGAAACTATATTATAGGAATTGGCATGCTTCTGTCTGTATATGTGTGTTTTTGTTGGAATAGAACCATTATGTGATGGTCAAGAGTTGTTTATCATTTGTATTTTGTGAAATTTTATTTATTCCGTAGTTCCTTCATTTTTACTGTTTTTCCTAAGATGGTGCCATTTTCTAATAGATCTTTATACTCACAGTAATGTCTGTTCCACAAATGCTGTAGGTTAAATGAAAGTAACATAAGTTGGCTTAATCTCTTTGGAGTTTTATAGCTATAGTGTGTCTAATTAGGAAAAAAAAAAAAGCCTTGTTTCTTAGACCTGTGGATATTTCATATTACCACTATCAAAAGCAAGATTCTATTACACTTGGTGACAAAGAATGAGGAGAATAGAATTTTTAAGCCCTTGGTTTTTCCTAGTCTAATACTTTGTGATTGAGATACAGGAAATTTTACATTTAGGATTTACAAAGAAAAAATCTTTAAGTTGTTTTTTTTCTGTTTATGTGTTTAATCTTTTCAAAATTGGCTGCTGCGAACTGAACCTAGTCCTCTACAGGAACAGCCAGTGCTCTTAACTGCTCAGCTATCTCTCCAGCCCCACATTCAGTATTGCTTGTTAAAAGAATATGAGTTTTGGGGTATAATTAAAATGGAAAGTGTTCCATGTCTTACCTAAAATTATATCACATAAGATGAAAAATAGCTAAAGTAACAGAATTTTCATCCACATTTTTCTCCTTTTAGATTTGTGTTTTTCTAAATTATTTTCTTTAAACCAGTCTTGATGGTATACGCCTGCAATTCCAGCACTCATGGTGTAGAGGCAGGGATCAGTAGTTCAAGGTTATCTTTCGCTACATAGTGAGGTTTGGGCCAGCCTGGGATACAAAATGTTGTGTCTTTTTCTTTCTCAAAAAAAATTCCTTTCTTATTTTTGACATAAGGTCTCATTTCCTAGGCTGGCCTCAAACTTGCTGTGTGTAACAGAGCCTAGCCTAGAACTCCTGATCCTTCTGTTGCTGCCCAGTGCTAGGTTACAGGTGTGTTCCACTAAGTCCAGCCTTGATTGCAGATTTTTATCATTTCACACTAAATCCCTTTAATTTTATCTTTGATTTCCTTGTTTGACTCTAGCTTGCATAACTTTCATTTTATTACTGCTATACCCTTTAGATTCCATTTTTATTAAATGTTCTGTTTGGGATTCTGTATAGAGTTCCTTTGTTTAATAACATCAAATCCAGGTTCTTTTATATTATTTTGAGATTTTCTAATCCAATACCAACTTTTAATTCTGTATTTTTCTCAGTTCTTCCCCATATCTTGTCTATTCCAGCTAAGCTATTGCTAGGCTTTGCCATATGATTTCCCATTTCTCTTGGTTCATACTTTCCCCATTTTTACCACTTGCCCTCTGCTCTTTTTCTTACCTATTTCTAATACTGTTTCTTTGATTCTTGTTCTATTTTTCCTTATGTTTTTAAAGAATCAATATTTATAGTTAATACCCTATTGCTAGGCTTCAATTTGATCTCAATAAGTTCTGTAGATCATCTTTATTTTTTATTTTAATTTTATATGTGTGAGTTATTTCCCTACATGTATAAGTGTACCTATGCATGAAATGTCCCTGGAAGCCAGAAGAGGGTGTTGGATCCCCTGGAACTGGAGTTACAGATGGTTGTTAGCCACCATGTGGGTGCTGGGAACCCAACTCAAATCCTCTTCTAGAGTATCCAGGGCTCTTAACCACTAGGCTATCTCTCTAGGCTGTCCTTCGCTTTTTAAAGTCAGTTTTTTATATGTCTCTAAAAACTTGTTTTTTTCAGCATATTAAAATGAATTTGAACAAGTTATCTTCTGGAACTTTTTTACATGATTGTGTTGTTTTATTTTGTTTTGTTGGTCTTTTTTGAGACAGGGTCTCCCTGTAGCCCCAGCTGTCTTGGAACTCACTATGTAGACCAGGCTGGCCTTGAACTCACAGAGATCCGCCTGCCTCTGCCTCCCGAGTGCTGGGACTAAAGGTGTGCGCTACTATGCCCGGCAATGATTGTGTTTTTAAAATTGATTAATGTTGTTCTATTTGTCTACTTGATTACTCCCACCATTGGTATTGTGTTTGTTTTATAATTTTGTAAAAACGTGTGTGTGTGTGTGTGTGTGTGTGTGTGTGTGTGTGTGTGTCTAGAGATCAGAGTACAGGTTATAGGGGACTGATGTCTCCTATCATGTGAGTCTCAGCAATTGAACTCATCAGGTTTGATGGCAAACAGTGAGTCATCTTGCCTGCCCTGTATTTCATTAAGGATATTAATGAATCTTAATATTCTAATTAAGAATGTGGCTACATTGAGCATCTTAGTCATTTCCTGATATACATGGCAGAAAGTTCTTTAGGATTTTTAAGTGGAATCGTTGGGCAGAGGAGATACAAAATTTTTTTTTTAACTTATAAAACAATTTTATTCATAATCCAAATTGTACATAGCTCACATTTCCAAACAAATAGAAGCTGACACATGTACTTTACAGTTTACCAAGTAGTTATACATACATTTTCTCATTGTTTGACAGAGACAAGTGAGAGCAAGTTCTTCTTTTCCACAAGGAAGCAGACCCAGGCATTAGTCAATACATTAATACTACATAGTGTAAACCAGGTGTGGTGGCACACACCTTTAGTCCCAGCAGAGGCAAGTGGATCTTTGAGTTCAAGGCCAGCCTGATCTACATAGCAAGTTCTAGGCCAGCTGGGGCCATAGGGAGACCCTGTCTCAAATATCTCCTCAAAATACTACATAGTATTAACCCTGAGACTTTAGAGCTGCGAAGGGTGTTAAAATGCAAGCGCAGCATATATTTCAATTTTTACCACAATTTTCTAGTTTTCCAAAAAAAAAAAAAAAAAAAAAAAAAGCCTATGAAAAACATTTTCCCCAAAGTAGAATAAAAATGAGAAATATTATATTCTTTATACTAACCAGGTGAGTAGAAGCCACCAGAAGCAAAGTTTGTTTTAAAGGTCCTCTGCAGTTACCCTTTCAGGATGCCAGTTCTAGTATGCAACTTTTCTCCTATTTTAGCGAAAATAATGCAGGGCATTCCTGCTGCCTCCAAGTCAAATGGGGTGTGTGTGCGCGTATATACACAAGTTAGAACTTCACTTGGGCCTAATTATCCCACTGTCACCCTCTAGGACTTGATTTGAGATACAAAAATTTTTATCTTTTCTAGCTAATTCTTTTTTTTCTATATTACTTTTCATGTTATATAATTTGTTCTTTAATATATCATAAGGGCAGTTCTAAAATACTGGGTTGAGGGGCTGGAGAGATGGCTCAGTGGTTAAGAGCACTGACTGCTCTTGCAGGGGACCCGGGTTCGATTCCCAGCACTCACATGGTGGCTACGAACTGTTCTTAACTACAGTTCTATGGGGAATCCAAAGCTCTCTTCTGACCTCTGTGGCATTGCACGACATGGGTACACTCACATACATGCAGGCAATACACTCATACACATAAAATAAAAATAATAAATAAAATATTAAAAAATACTGGGTTCAGTTCAGCATTTCTGGCCTTTCATTTAGAATTATACTTGAACTACATAATCAACTCTCTCTTCCCTCTTCCCTTTTCTTTCCTCTTCCTCCATTCTCCTCTCCTCTCTCTTCGTGTTTCATTTATTTTGTGAATGTGTGTGGAGGTCAGAGTACCACTTGAGAGAGCCCATTTTATCACGTGGGTCATGGGGATAGAACTCAAGTCATCAAGTCAGGTGTGGTTGTGCACACCTTTAATCCTAGCACTTGGGAGGTGCTTTTACACACTGAGCCATTTTGCCAGCCTATTTCAGGCCAAACTGGCGCTTACTGTGTAGCTGTGGCTGGCCTTAAACTTGTGAATCTCCTCCTTTAGGAGGTCTTGGATTATAGGCCTTAGCCACCATATCCAGCAATGCCAAGTACTGGGGAATTGAACCCAGAGTCCTGGGAATTCTAGGCAAGTACTCTTTCTGCCCTTGAACTACATCCCCATGTATTATTGTTCACATATTTGGTGAGTGAATGAAATGTTTGTTTTAAAACCACATATTTTTCTTTGCTGTGGTAGGTGGATGGCGAGCTAGAAGCACTGATGGAAAATGGTGAGGGACTCTCTGATAAAAACCAGGTGCTCAGTTTATCCCGGCTTATGGTTAGAATTGAAACTTTGGAGCAGAAGCTTACCTGTCTCAAGCTCATTCAGGTGAGCACTTTAATACTAATTTATTTTTTGTTCTAAGTTTGGAGTAGGACATTTAAGCTACAGTCTGACTGATGGGGAAAAGTTAGGCATGTATTAAATGGATATGGAAGTTCTATAGGACTTGTACCCTTGAAAACAGCCTAAATTAATAGGAGGCCTGGTTTACTTTCCTTCTCTAGTTAAAACAACATGTTGAGATTTCTTTTAGAATAATAATTCAGGGCACTCAGTGCGGCTTCTCTACCCACCAGTTACTATCGTATCAAAACTATTATACTATGTAATCTTAAAGAAAGGAATTTAACAGTGTCATTTTGATTTATTAAGTATGTCATAAAAAATGGATAATAAAAATTTTATTCACTGGGGCTGGAGACCTGGCTCAGTGGTTAAGAACACTTCCAGTGGTTAAGAACAGTTCCAGGGGATCCAACAGCCTCTTATGTTCTCCGTGGATGGCATGACATGGGTGCACTTACCTACACACAGGCAATACATGCGTACACATAAAATAAAAATAATAAAAAATTTTAATCATAAAAACCAACAGAAGTACTGGTGGTATATAGCTCAGTGGTAGAGTACTTGTCTAGGATGAATGAAGCACTGAGTTCAAACCTTACCACTATATAAACAAGAGACAGAATTAACCATTAGGAAAGAAAAGCCTTTTGAATAAGCATCTGAATGGCAGAGGAAAAAATTAAAGACTAATTTTCATGATTTTAGCATTTTTCAGTGAGGTCATTTTCCTTAATCATTCAGACCTGAATTTATTTTTAAAAAGTTTTTATTACAGTTTATTTATTTTGTGTATCTCTATGTATATATGTACATATATATATATGTATATATATGTGTGTGTGTGCATGGGGAGGGGGTGCTCACATGCATGCCACAGCATGTGATTGGAGATCAGAGGACAACTTGTATGAGTTGGTTATCTCCTTCCAGCATGTGGGACCTGGGAATTAAGGTTAGGTCATCAAGTTTGGTGACAAGTACCTTTTACGTGCTGAGCTGTCTTGCCAGCCCAAGAATTCTGAATTTCACTGTAAATAAGTTAATATTTTTTAAGTAATTTTAAACCTTTAGTAAAATATAAGCATACTATCAGAAAAAAATTTTAAGAGATTATAATCTGGAGTCGGGTAAGACATTTTCAGAGGTGTAGCCACTAGTGTGTTGCAGATGCTCCTGTGATTAACTGAATTCATAAAAGACATGAAAATAGAAGGGGGCTTATTGGGAAATAGAAGTGGATCAGGGGAAGGAGGAGCAAGAGAGGGTACTGGGGGTGGTGAATATGATAAAGATGTTAAACAAATTTTTAAAAATTTTTATTTTTAAAAATATTTTAGTATTTTGGGCCAGGCGTGGTGGCGCACGCCTTTAATTCCAGCATTTGGGAAGCAGAGACAGGCTGATCTCTGTGAGTTCAAGGCCAGCCTGGCCTACATAGTGAGTTCCAGGCCAGCTGGGGCCACAGGGAGACCCTGTCTCAAAAAGACCAAAAAAAAATTTTTTTTATTATTTTTATGTGTATGCATGTATTGCCTGCCTGTACCCATGTCGTGCAATGCCCACGGAGAATAGAAGAGGCTGTTGGATCCCCTGGAACTGGAGTTACAGACAGTTGTTAGCTGCCATGTGGGTGCTGGGATTTGAACCTGGGTCTTCTGCAAGAACAGTCAGTGTTCTTAACTGCTGAACCATCTCTCTAGCCCCCAGAAACAAATTCTTACAGACTGTAATTCATTATTTCATAGTATTTGTTAATTGTCTATGTATAGTTGAGTTAATACAAATAGTTTCTGATTTGTGTGGTAATTTAAGTAAATTTTCGTCTTCACCATGGACTTTTTGTAACATTCTAATTGATGTTCTTCTCTAACACTCTGTATCACGCCTTTCTTTCCCCATAAAGAACACACATTCACAATCCTGCCTGAAGTCCTTTCTGGAACGTCATGGGCTATCTTTGTTGTGGATCTGGATGGCAGAGCTTGGTGATGGCCGGGAAAGTAACCAGAAGCTTCAGGAAGAGGTTAGTTGATGTTCATCTCACTTGTTTCTTTAAACTACTCACATTGATTGCTTGCTTGGGGGAGGATATCAGTGATTATAAATTTAGCACTGTACGATTAGTATCACACAATCTTTAAAAAGATGGCAATGAAAAGACCATATCCTACTGGGTATGGTGGTGCACACCTTTAGTTCCAGCACTGGGGAGGCAGAGGCAGGTGAATATCTGTAAGTTCAAGGCCAGTCTGATCTCCGTAATGAATTCCAGGCCAGCTGGGGCTACAGGGAGACCCTGTCTCAGAAAGACCAAAAAAAAAGACCCAACATAAACAAAGTTTATTACTCCATTATTATTCCTGTAATTAACCTTACTCACTGTAAGGTTATTATTCCTGTAATTAACCCACTGGTTTCCCCATAGCATCTTCTTAAAGTTAGCACTACCATATATCTGAGGACTATAAGAGCAAGATATATTATGATAGCAATTTAGCTTGTTGCAAAGTTCATTGTTGTAAAATGATAGGAAAAGGGCTGGAGAGATGGCTCAGCGGTTCTTGGAGAAGACCTGAGTTTGAATCCCAGGACCTACATGGCGGCAAATAGCTGTCCCTAACTCCCAAGTTCTAGGTAATCTGATTCCCTCTTCTGTCCTCAGGCTTTGTACTACACTGATACACTTACACACATGCACACCATACACATAATAAATAAAATTTAAAATTACGGCAAAACAGAAAACTTGAATTTTGGGGTTCTGAAAAATTAGTGACAAGAGTTAGAATATTCTGAGAAGCAAATAAGTATTTTATTTTTAAAAATATTTTATTATTTTTATTATGTATGAGTATGTATAGATAAATGCACCTGTGTCATGTGATGCCTATGGAGGACAGAAGAGGCCATCAAATCCTCTGGAAATGGAGTTACAGACAGTTGTTAACTGCCATGTGGGTGCTGGGATTCGAACCCAGGTCTTCTGCAAGAACAATAGGTGTTCTTAACTACTTTTATTTTATTTTATTTTATTTTATTTTATTTTATTTTATTTATTTTTTGGTCTTTTTGAGATAGGGTCTCCCTGTAGCTGCCCTGGAACTCACTGTGTAGACCAACCAGTCTGGCCTTGAACTCAGAGATCCACCTGCCTCTGCCTCCCGAGTGCTGGGACTAAAGGCGTGCGCCACCATGCCTGGCATAAGTATTTTAAAAATATTTTTTTTTAATTTAAGGGTCTCAGTAAAGATTAATTAGTAACATTATTAGTGGATTTGTAATGTTTACAACTTCCCATAAAGTTAAGGTTAACTTTAATTTTGTAGGTAGCTTTTTAAAAAAGAATCATAGTTTCTACTGTAATCCCAAAGTCAATTATTTAATAAAGCATTCTTTATAAAGAAATATTGCAGTAGTCAAAAAAGTACTTTTTCTTACCTGTATCCTTCTCCAAAGTGATCTGTGAAGATGAACAAAGGTTCTCTCTTTGCTAGATATTTATCACAGAGTAAGGAGGTAATGTCTGTATCTTTTTTTGTGTAAAACATTTTAATGTTACATAGTTCTGAAGCTTCTATTTATAGTCACTTGGGGAACTTTATAGAAGAAAGTTGAGGTGATATCCAGCAATATAGAATATAAAAAAAGAAAACCTTAAAACATTTCAGTGTTAGAAATTTTTTTAAAAATTAGTTTTTATTAATTTATGTGTATGAGTGTATTGACTGCAAGCGTGTGAGTACATCTATGTTGTGCAGTGCCCACAGAGGATCAGAAGAGGGCTTTGGATTCCCTGGAATTAGAGTTATAGAATTGGAGTTAGCTGCCATGTAGGTGCTGGGAACTGAGCCATCTCTCCAGTTCCCAGTGTTAGAAATTTTTTCTTTTTTACTTTTTTTTTTTTTAACTTTACAAAAACTTTGAGAATTTCATACATGCATAAAGGCGTTTTGATCAAATCCATGCCCACTCCCTCTCTTTTAGCACCTCCCATATCTCTCCATCACTTTTTTCTTTTTCTTTTTCTTTTCTTTTTTTTTTCTTCTTTCATTTATTTATTTTTATGGGGCTTTTGGGTACTCTAACATTCCCCTCTCTGAAGAGGTAACCCTAAACAATGTTAGAAATTTTTCGAAGAGAATATTTATCATTCACATTTGAAGTTATGAGTAGTTAGAACTCTGTATTTTATTATTTTAGATGAGACTTATTAAAACAGCTTTTCTTCCTTTCTAAAACAAATTAATGTTATAATTTTTAAATATAGCTATATTATGAAGACTTGTGTATCTTAATTTAGTAAACAATGCCTAAATGTACTATTCCTTGTCCTGAGTCCCAACCAGGTTTGAAAGGTTAACTGTAGAAAGTGATATGATTTTTTTTTAATTATGTTTAATCAGATTATAAAGACTCTGGAACACTTACCCATTCCTACAAAAAATATGTTGGAGGAAAGCAAAGTACTTCCAATTATTCAACGTTGGTCTCAGACTAAGACTGCTGTCCCTCAGTTAAGTGAAGGAGATGGATATTCTAGTGAGAATACATCACGTGCTCACACCCCACTTAATACACCCGATCCTTCTACCAAATTGAGCACTGAAGTGGATACAGATACACCCAAGAAACTCATGTTTCGCAGACTTAAAATTATAAGTGAAAATAGTATGGACAGTGCAATCTCAGATGTAACCAGTGAACTGGAATGTAAGGATGGCAAAGAGGACCTTGATCAATTAGAAAATGTCACCGTAGAAGAAGAAGAAGAGTTGCAGTCACAACAGCTACTCCCACAACAGTTGTCTGAGTCCAAAGTTGAAAGTGAACCCACCCTCGAGGCCAGTAAGCTACCCACATCTGAACCAGAAGCTGACACCGAGATAGAGCACAAAGACAGCTGTGGCACAAAACTAGAAGAGACTATTGCTGAGGAAACACCATCCCAAGATGAAGAGGAAGGTGTGTCTGATGTGGAAAGTGAGAGAAGCCAAGAACAGCCAGATAAAACAGTGGATATAAGTGATTTGGCCACAAAGCTACTAGATAGTTGGAAAGACCTAAAGGTAAGAAAACATTATTTGTCACTGTAACTTGAATTACTCAGATTCAGAGTTCTACAAACTAAAATAAGTTGACATTTCTAACCGTGGGTGCTTTTGAAAAATGGAATATCATCTCTCTTGCTATCAACTAGTGATATATGTGTCTCAAATATCCTTTAAGTCTTGGACAAGAGCCATACCAGTCAAGCCAATATGTAAATGTTTCCCCCACCCCTTCACTGAGAAAAGTATATCATATCAGTGGCTTTAGTCTTTCAAAGGATCTTCATAAAAAAACATTCTTTGAGTATCAGACTTATTCTGTATGCAGTGAGAGATTAAATTAATGAGAAATTGGGCTGGAGAGATGGCTCAGTATTTAAGAGCACTGACTGCTCTCTCAGAGGACCTGGGCTCGATTCCCAGCACCCATGTGGCAGCTACGAACCGTCGTTAATTCCAGTTCCAGGGGAATCCGAAGCCCTCTTCTGACCCGTGGCTTTGCACAACACGGGTGCACTAACATACATGCAGGCAATACACTTGTACACATAAAATAAAAATAAAATATTTTTAAAAAAGTTAATGAGACATCATTTTTGATTAATAGAAAGTTAATTTAAAATAATTAATTGGAAGCCAGGTGTGGTGGCACACACCTTTAATCCCAGCACTCGGGAGGCAGAGGCAGGTGGATCTCTGTGAGTTCAAGGCCAGCCTGGTCTACATAGTTCCAGGACAGCTGGGGCTATAGGGGAGACCCTGTCTCAAAAAAACCAAAAAAAAATAAATAAATAAATAAAATAAAATAAAATTAATTGGAAAACCATGGTAGTTGGAAAACCATGGTAGTTTAGCAACTTATCAAAATTGATTATGAATATTTGTTTTGGAAAAACAATTTTATGACCCTAGTTTAGCTGCTTTATTGTTTCTGGAATAGGCCTACCTCCCCCCCTTTCATGGAAAATACATTATCTTAAAAAAAAAATAGAAAGTTTTGGGAACCTTATGCCTAATATCTCATATAAATAATTACTTGGGCTGGAGAGATGGCTCAGTGGTTAAGAGCACTGACTGCTCTTGCAGAGGACCTGGGTTCAATTCTCAGTACCCACATGGTAGCTAACAACCATCCGTAACTCCAGTTCCACGGGAATCCGATGCCTTCTTCTGACCTCCGTGGGCATTCCACAACACGGGTGCATTTACACACATGCAGGCAGTACACTCATTCACATAAAATAGAAATGAGAAAATATTAAAATAATTTCTTTAAAGACTGTACAGCAGGTGTTGTAGCACATGCCTTTAATCCCTGTACTTGGGAGGCAGAGGCAGGTGAATCTCTGTGAGATCAAGCCCAGCCTGGTCTATGTAGTGAGTTCCATGCCAGTTGGGGCTACTGTGAGACCCTATCTCAAAAAACAAAAGAATAAGTGCTAGATATGTTGGTATATGTCTTTAATCCCAGTACTAGTGAGGTAGGTGGATCTCTCTTGAGTTCTAGGCCAGCCTGAACTAAATATCAAGTTCCAGGGTTACACACTGAGACCCTGTCTAAAAAAAGAATGTAGTAAGGTATGAAGACTTTGCATTGCAAAACCCAGTCTGGGCCTTGACATAAATGTATAAAAAAATTAAGCCATGAGGGCCAAAGGTACATTCAGTTGTAATTGATCTGGATCCAGGATCCAGGTGTTTGAGGACCCTGTGGAAACAGGTTACTTCTACTTTCTATTTTCCTTTTCCTCCTTTCTTCTCTCAGAGTTGAAGCAATCAGATAGAACAGCAATCCAGGTTTATTTGCAGCAAGGTAAGATAGATCCTGTAATTTGACCAGTGGATCTTGCCTTAGCCTGAACACAATGAGTAGTTGGTTGTGTGCTGTGCTTCCTATTCTCTGTATTAAGACAGTTCTTTGCAGTGTGGTTCAGCTTTTGTTTACCAATTTGTATTCTCATGTATTAACTTTTTGATCACTATAAACTCAGCTTTATCAAGTGTATTAAGATTTTTTTTAATAAATATAAAAGGTAGTGTTCATAGTAAATCTGTTTATGATGCAGTGTATGAAGTTCAGGAATCAGAATTGCAGTTGAGAGGTGCTGGGATGGTTGCTTATTGGACCTTTAAAGCCTGCTTTGTGACAGCATAGGAGTCCCTAAAAGAAATTCCTTTTATGTTTGGAGGCTGCTGTTAGAGCCTGTATGAGGACTATAATTTAGTGATGAAGATAGAGATGAGTACACAAATGGACACAGAAAAGACCTTTAAAACCATGGTTTCACAGAAGGAAAGAGTGAAGGGTGCCATTGTACAGCCATTAGTTTGTCTGAGAATTCTCTGGTCAACAATTTTTTTGGTTGTTAAGATATATAATCTCAAATTGTCTTAAAGTCTGTAAGATGTAAATATCTTTATTCTCTGTGTAATAGTTTGTTTCTGTCATTGTAAAGATATGAATTCCACTCTAGGATGTATTCAGATTGATCAGGTATGACTGGACTAATTTAACCTCACACTCTGAGCATATATTTTTCAGTCCTACAGAATCATTTCTTTCCTTTTCAACTTCTATCTGAAAGATCAAAGCAGTCTTTCAATAATGTGTAGGTTTAATGATCCTTTTGACATTAGATTTAAATTTTTATATTTAAAACCTTCCTAGATTTCATATTTTATATTTATTCAGATTCTTAGCATCAAGGGAGCCATTCAGTAAAATTCTCCTTTCTTTCTCATACTGTAATTTGTTCTGGAGTTGCATTCCTGAGAAATGTCCTTACCTTATGTGAACTGTAATGTTTCATTATATATTGGTGCTGGGGTTTTTAATTCTTCTATCCTAATTAACATTTACTGTGTTTCTGGTTTCTAAACTGATTACCATTGTCTTTTAAGTTTTAAAAAAGATGACACTTTAGATGGCATTTAAGGAGGAATCTGAAATTAGGAATTGATAAATTGAGAATGTTTTAGAGAAACACATTGACTTAATGTGATTACTGTATTTCCTACTATCCCGGCATTGAAAGAGTTAACTACTTCTGTCTGACTTTCACCTATGTGTTCCAGTAGACATTAGCTAAAAAGAAAATGTCTTAATTCAGTCAACCTTACTAAGTACTTGTTGCCAAGCACTGTATTAGTTGCTGATACTTAGTTCTAAGACCATAATAAAAAAGCATTGATCCAAGATTGTGGTTGTTTTGACCACACTAACTCTCCCTGACCGTCTGGGGCTGCTGTAACATTGCTGGACATGAATTCCAGTTGTCCCTTCTACACTGGATAAAGAACATGATTGCATCATATTCTTTAATCGTGGTTTTGCTGTAAGGCAGACTATAGGGATCATCAGTACAACGTATAAAAGGGTGGGAGGGAAGGGAATGAAGCTTCGTGAATTACTCTTTGTCCTCCCAGATCTGATGATGATCCCCCTTGTAACTTGAACCATTTCCATCTAGCTTCTCAGGGCAGCAAGGAGCTTGTTAACATCACCAGCTGACCATGTGTCTCCTTTTCTCAACTCCATTTCCAACTTCGTGCTGAAGAAAAACAAGAACCTAGAGTGCATTCTGTGAAGAAACAGGAAGATGGTTGGGAAGTTGGATGATGCATGAAAAATATAATAGGTGAAAAGAGGACAGAGGTGGTTAACTCACTGGCGCCGGCATTATTTTGGTGCGTCCATTGCCGACAATGGATGTCGTTCCAGGAAAATCCCTACTTCTGGCAAGAAAGGATTAAGTGAGCTATTTTTCTATACCTTATATACACAGGACCACTGCCTTGGTTCACAAGGCATTTTCTATAAACATTTCTTCTAAAGTAGACCTCAACCTGAAACATCACCTAGCACATTGCTACTTCATGAACTTGTGTTCATTTTCACATGCTAATTTACTGGGCTACATTTCTAGTAGGGACATATGAATATATTTCTGTTTGCAAGAGGAGTTGCTATCTATCATCTCTCCTGCTGAAAAGATAGCCTAGATTTCACAAGGCAAAACAATGATTACAGGTGATGATTGTAACTCGACTGGAACAATTTTTATTTGATTGGATCATGTGGAAAGAGGAGGTAAGGTTCCCATGAGTTTGGCAGTTTCAGTTGCTGTTAACATCAAGAGGTTATAGTAATTGGTAATTCCAGAGCTTCTTTTACACACACACTTAGATTACAGGATATGCATTCCTCCTTATAATGACCGTGGATCGTCCCATTTGTACCTGGATTTGATGATAACGGAACATTTCCTTTGAGGGTAGAATGAGCTCTTTTTAATGACTGCTCTTTTATTTTGTCTTTTGTAGACATTAATTTTAAAATACAATATTTGCCTAGAAAGCTAAGGATTAAACTTTCTGTAGAAAGTTGAGATATAGTTAGCTAAACTGAATAGCTTTGAGTCAGTGCTTGGAATTTCACTCCATCACCATCATTGTCTATAAAAAAGTTTTTGCAAAATTTGGAAGTTGCATACCCTGAATTTCTGTGACAGATTTGAAAGTCTTTAGAGCAAAAGGATAGATATGATTCTGTTTAGCAATTTCTCCTGGGAATGCTGTTTTACATACTGCTACATTAAGAATATTTTAAGTGCCTTATTTTGTAAAAGACAAAAGTGTTCTAAAACCTATTAGTGGATTATTCATTTATTTAGGTTTTTTTTTTTTTGTAGGAGACAGGGTCTATATGTAATAGTTCAGACTGGCCTCTAACTCACAATCTTGCCTCATTCTCCCAAGTGCTGGGATTATAGGTGTGTGCCACCAGTCTCTGCAGTGAAGTCACTTTTTAAGCAGTCCATTTTGTTATCAGATAAAAATACTTTTATCTAAATAGGGGAATGGAGCCTGATTTGGTGGTGGGATTCTATAATATTGGCACTCTACAGGCTGAGAGAGGAAGAGCTTGAGTTGGAAGCCGGCCTGGCAGCATAGCAAACCATTATCTCTAAAAACAAAAATATCAACCCATCTCCCCCACTGCTTTTTTTTCCTTATTT